TTATTATATAACACGTGTATGTAGGAGTATTGTAAAACAGTTAGTTTGAAATAGAAAAGATTTGTTCTGTGATTGGAAATTCATTTTAACTATATCAATAGATGTAATAAATTTAATCAAAATCGTCAGAGCCTTTTTGGCACTTCCAGTTAGCCGATTTTTGGGAAAAGGCTGGTGTAACATCCCAGCCATGTACCCAGCTTAAATACATGTCAGTTTTGCATGAATTTTCGTTTTTGAGGTAGACTTTTCTCATACACTGACACCTGGGCCATTTTGTGGTATTTCGTTATTTTGACTCAGGGAACCTCGAAACGTGTATTTCCATTGAAAACTCTGATTCGAAAATTTTCATGATGGCATAACTTTCTCTTACTAGATGTTACATATATAGGATAATTGGTAGTAAAAAGTGATTTTTCTTATTATTTATATCCTTGGGATATTATACATATATATGTGTGTGTATTTGTTTTTTCATACACTAAGACAATTTTTCATTTTTGTAAAAACGTTAAATTATATTAAACCTAAACACGAGCTATTAATTCATTTTATTTTTGGTTATTAATTTATTTTTATTTATTTATTTTTGGTTATTAATTTATTTTTGTATATTTATTTTAGTTTATTTATTTAGTAATGAACAGTTAAGTTTTTTTTCTTCACCTTAAAAATCTTATTGAATAATAATTATGAAAAAGAGTTCTTTTTTATTAATGTTAATGAACAGAAAGCATTGTTTAATGCTTTCTCAATGTAGTCTCCTGCACGATCTACATACTTTCTTCTCTCCCCCAGTTAAAAAGCTTTGAATTTTCTTTTTCATAAAATGTTTGAGGGCCAATTGTCGGACAAGTGCTCTTCAACTTCTTTAATAATGCTCCTCCAAATGATTCTTTCGAAGATGGTCAAAAACAAATAGTAACATGCTGACAATTCTGGGCTATAAGGAGAGAGAATGTTCCTATTTATCATTAGTCAAAATGGTGGTTTGAGTCCTGATATTCTCATTACTAATGGTAGGTAGGTCTTACTGACTGATAACTGTGTTATTGTCATTCTAAAAACATCTAAATTCTGAATCTCTCATATATTTAATACATAAGTAGACAATAAGTCATTATCTTAGTTGGAGTGTAGCCATCCTTTATCATAAAATATAAAAATTCAAAATTCGATAAAACTACATACACTTCTTAGGAACTTAATTTCCAATAATTGGATTAATTTATGGTTTTAAAAAAATAATAAAACTATGTAATTTGATTTTTTCATAATAATTTTTTACTTAAGTGTAAATCCCTGAAAGTGGATTCCTGTAACAAAGGAGAAAAACAAAAATATTTACTGTTGAAATTGTATTCTATAATGAATAGGTTTTAAATGTCTCCTTAATTTCAGAAGTTTTAAATGGTTAAAAAAAATATCTGTATTTTAATGAAGAAATTTTTGCAAATAGAATTATTGCCGTTGGTCACTTGGTGAAAGAGATTATTGAATGTTGAAGCATTGGAACTTGTAATGTGTTGTTACAATTCAAAGAATGGACATTTTTTAAAAGTCTTATATCCTAAGACAGATTGTAATATTTCTGAATAAAAAAGTTTTTAAAAAAAGTTATATTATATTAGTTTTTTTAATTAATATAAGATTAATCATAAAAAATATTTTAATTAAAATCTGCATAAATTGTGGTAGTAAAAAATATCCCTCAAGTTCTATTCCTACAATTATACTAGAATTTTATGAAAACTAATCAGGATTTATGCTTTATGCATTAACTAATAGTAAGAAAAGTAGGTTAAGTGGTATGATAAATTTTGAATAATGAAGTGGCAGTAAGGGACTTATTGTTATTAGAAAAAACCATACTATCATTTGGTTAAAATCCCGCATTACTCATTTTTCCACTTAACTGCCATGTCTAAATTCCCAAGCAGTATATCAATACTATCAGTGCAAATATTTTAGGTTCTTTTATGAAATATTGGTTTTGAACTTCCGATTGATGGTAGAATAGTGGTTGGATAATTGCTTTTATAAAAGAATTTTATTAATTAATTAAGAATTTTATTAGGAAGAAGATGAATAGTATTTACAAGCTAATAGATATACCCATCTTTGGATGGTAGTAAGCTTTATGTTGGGATGCAAAAAAAAAATAAAAATGAGTCAACCCAGAAGTCCCCAATCTCTTCTATTTGTGTGGACATAACATATGTGTCATTATATCGACAAATCATTAATTTTCAATTAACACTCTAATTAATTATCATATATTTAAAAATAAATGAATAGAATTAACTTTAATTTGATCCTTTGTCTTATTTTCAGCATATTAGCTTATTATCAAGGAGAACCTTCAGCTTTTACGAGTTAAATAAATAAAGAAATTAGTTCTCTTGTCTTGTTTATTTTTGAATAATCAACTGAAAAAAATCTTTCATTTCTTTGAAGGCTTTATTGAAGGTTCTTCTAGATAGAGGCTTAATTGGAGAAGAAAATAAAGAAAAGCAAGACGAAAGGATCAAATTAAAGTTCTTTTTTCTAAATAAATAATTTTTTTTTAGGAATTTATCAAAGAGCACTAGGGCTAAATGGCATTTCTAGCTGCCATTGTCGGTCCAGTGTATAATGGAGGAGCACAGAGTTGGGGATCTCTGAGTTAACTCACCTAAAGTACATAAATGCACTGTAAAAAAATAGTAAGAGGATTTTTATCAGGATCAGTGAATGTGAAGATGTAAAACCAAAATAAATAGAACAAATTTGAGAATCCGCTTTTATTCAAAATAACTTTTAAAGTAATATGGAAAGGTTTATGTACAAATAAAACATTATGTATTTTGATTATTGGACGTATTTAATCATATGAATTCTTATAATGAAACTTTTACGAAAAGAAAGAAATATGAAAATAGGGTAGGACTTAAGAGAGCAGAAATATACAGAGAATCATATTCAATTTACAATAATAGTAAACAACATCGCCTTGTTAAAAAACGAGTCATCTCCTATCTGGATAAGGTTAATTTACTCAGCTGTTTTATAATACTTAATTTTATCAAATAGAAATTTGTGTATGACTTATTGTATGACTACTAGACATTCATTGTATAAATCACTAGTAACACATATAATGCATATGCAAATTATTGACAAAAAATCATAAGATGGATATGTTATCCTCTCTATTTAAGAATACATCAATATATTTAAGTACTCCAAATGGAAAAGTGTTAATTCATATAATATGAGGTATAAATATGTACAAAAAACACTTTATCAATGTACACATAACATTAATGTAAAAATAATTTTCAGTTAATAATGTCAAAACACAGTATATATTAAATGCTGATTTCTCTAAGCATATAATTGTACACTAAAATAAACATATTTATATCAATGCATAACACACACTTCAGCCATACTGTTTAAAATAATGCAATCTCCTTTATATAAAAAACAGAAACATAGACCCAAGTGCGTGAAGTACAAAGCTTTAGTCGATCAGGACATACAATCAGTATGGTTAGAAGAAATAGGAATGTTGAATTTTAAGTTCAAAACCTAATTAGGTAACATAATTACATAATGTAAAAACTAGCCACACAATGTAAAAATAGATTTCCTTTAAATGTAATAAATAATGAAGTTTGATTGTAAATTTTATAGGAACAAACAATAAAAATAATAAAATCAATTTTTCTATAAGCTAAAAGGGAACTTGATTATTATTATTATTTCTATAATAATTGTATTTTTTAAAAATAGGAAACCATTTTTACAGCATGTGAATTTTGGTAATATTTATTGGAAACTATAATTTAACATCCCATTCTGATTTTTATTAACCAACTCTAATTCAACAAATTCAAACACATTTTTCAACTTTTTGTGTTTTTAATTGAGGAAAGAAAGTCAGTTCTTCATCTATACAAGAACACCATTTAAATAAACAAGAAATTTATGTACATTTTTTTTTCTCCAAAAATATTTAATTAGAACGATTGAAAACTTACAAATATAGATATCAGATGTTACCATAGAAAAAGAATATTACAATTAGCTCGAATTGGCAACGGCGGCATCATTGCCTTATATAAATAAATTTTTTCGATTAAGTATACACTGTATAAACAAAATAAGTTATGTACAATTGATACAATAAATATACATTTTTATTTATCAGCATATTATTTAGTTTAAAATAAGCTGATAGGAAACAAAATTATTTCTTCTTAATATCAAGAATTTCAAAATTAACAAAAACAACAAAAAAGGAAATGATATTTATTTAAATTATTGTATATATATACATCATTCCCTCTTAACTAGCTCAAAGCATTAAAAATCTACATGATGGTAATAAGTCAACCTCTGAAAAATTAAATAAATTTTCGTCTACTTAATAAAATCAAATATCTTTTCATAAGGGGGCTGGAAAACAGTACATACCACAACTATGTCTGACATGGGGATTAGTTTATCTAAAACATTTAATTATTATTTTAGAACAGATAAATGTGGAAAACACTTAACATCAATTAATTATTGCTACTATGATTTTTATTAAATAGCCAATCATTAATTCAGATTTCTATTCATATTTCGATATACTCGATGCAATTAACAGACATTCAACATATTATATAAATATTTATATATCTCTAGTTGTTCTGAATCACTTATACTTTGTACAATTTATTGAGGCCGATCAGAAATGTCTGTTAAAGACAGGCCGCAAAATTTTCAGTGATCCACTCTGCAAGAGATTGATCTTGCAAAACAAATAAATTGACTAAACTAGCTCTGAGGCAATTTACAAATGATAAATAATTCAATATTTTTTTTTTATTAAGTACAACTAAAAAGAAAGTTTTCCTTATCATTTTCTTTTTAAAAACCTAAATATATATATTAATATAGGTAGTTTTATCATATATACTTAAAGATTTATCACAGTAAACGTGGAATGTCCTAGGACAACGGGACTATACGAGGAATCCCTCGGAAAGATTGGCCGAAATCTGTGCCCTCATGGCCTGTACACTGTTCATGATCTTTTTCTGGTGACCGACGAGGGTGATTCCTAGACTGGTCAGCTCCTGCACGGTCAACCTGACAACACCCTCCATCGATGTGATTCCTGCTCTCTCGAAGTTTTCCAAGTATCTGGACATCTTGATAGAAGCTAGCCAATCAGAGACGGTCATGAACTGAGTCAAGTCTGGGGCATCAGGAGCCAAAGGATTACCAGCCCTGAAAAATTAATTTTTTTTAGTTTTCTATAAAGAAATTAAAACAAATGGAATATTAACTACAAAGTTGTCATTATAATATGTGTTGGTGGTCGACCAAATGAAAAATCAAAGCTATGGTCTGGATGTCAGTCATGAATAAAATTTAGCAGTAGGAACTATTTCTTATTTTTGACCAAAACCTGGACCATCTCATATAAAGTTAAAGTTAAAAAAATGAATCACATAAATATATTGCACTACTGTTTACTACAAAAACTAAAAATTATAGCCTAACTGTGCAACGAGAATTATTAAAAATAATTTTAAAAACACTCAGATAGTTAACTATGATGATCTGATACTTCCAATCATTTAGCAACATTGAACATTATTCAAGTTTTAACTTTTTGTTTAAAATTAAGTTGAAAGATATGAATTATTTTAAGTTTTTTATTTTTGATTAATTATTCCTTTAAGCCATTTTAATAGCATTCCATGAGTAGGTAATTCAATGCTGTAATAATATTGGAAACCTATTACCTATGCTTAACTACATAAAATAATTTTTTTTTCAAGAAGTTAAAAATAACTATTTGAAATAAAATAAAATTGATTTCTGAAATACTGCTTTTATATTTTTCATTGGAGCAAACTTATACAAAACGAAGGAGTCAAAATAAATAGGAAAAATCATATTGATGATCCAATTATAATTTTAATTATTTAATTGAGAAAAATATTAAGAGGTTTCAATGTTGCCCATAATAATAAATTTATTTGTTATCAACATATTTTTTTTAAGGGGTGAAATAACAGTATGTCTGTTTGGTACATAAAAACACTCACAAAATTACTTTGTTCTTTTTTTGACTGAACACTCCAACTAACTTCTCTTCAATAAAGTTTGTGGTGTCACAACTTATATTAAATTATTAGATAACCTTGCTCTGTGAAACTTGAATAGTTTCAGTGTTCAACTAAAAATTTGATTGTATTAATATTCAAGAAGGTTTCACTTCCAAAAAAGCAATTTGCCCTCTTATTTGCTCTGGTCCTTAATAACACAGAATGTGGATTCGGAAGGTTCTTGGACTAAAATAAAAGATTGTATTTGGAGTGTGTACCATCCTTTGACCCGTATCAATAACCTCTCACTAAGGAATCATGAATTAATTAATTCAAAACTAAGGTATAATTTCAGCATGATTTTCTTGCCCTGACTGCTAGGATGATGTGTGTGTCACATTTTAATAACAGAATTATTCTTGTACTCCTTAGATTATAATGACATTGAGAACTTATATGTCAAGCCTAACACCGATAAAACTTTCCTACTAATATTCTGGAAGACACAGAGGATGAAAAATTAGGGTAATGAAAAGATTTTTAAGAATAAAATATAATAAAGAAGTAAGTATAAAATGTTTATTTGGTAAGTTGCTAAGATGGAAGTAATCAGAAAAAATTAAGCTATATATGCTAAATGAAAATCACAAACAGCTTTTAAACAATCTTATCAATCTAAATTTATAAAAAAACTAAACATATCTAGATTATGACAGATAGTAAGTCATTAAATAACATACGCTATGCAACAGATAAAAGCTTCCACCAAGTTAATGATAAAATGTAATTAAAAATTAATCAGTTATAAGAAAAAAAAATGGTTAGTTATAAATTGCAAATTGAAAACCCACTAAAGTCTATAAAAATAATATCATAACGATATCCATGGTATCAAAAATATATGAATATAATTTATCTTGTAAATTAATGCTGAATAAAAGATTTTTTTTATTGTGAAATTTTTAAAATTAACATCTTTCAAGAATAAATTAAATAAAAACTAATAAAGCATCAGACTTTTCATCATTTTGATGCAATGGACATCTTTGAGTTTTTAGTAAATCCTAAACTATTATTAAGAAGTTGTGCAGAAGAAATAGCAACACTCTACATTGTTTGCTACGCTTGAATTTAAAAGTTCGCAGCGTACCTTGGCTCTAAAAGGCCTGGCTAATCCTGGTGCAAGGAGACCCACTCAGGGCGCCTATATGCCACAGGAACGTAATATGGGTTTAGAGGTGGTGGGCGCCTTCAACCAACACAATGCGATCAAGAGCAAAACAACAAAAACAAAAACAAAAAAGGAAGCTCAGCAAATATGCAGCCATGTTAATAGTAAAAAAAAATAAATAAAATATTATGATAAAAAATTAAAAATAATAGTTATTTTGAATAAGTAGCGAAAAAGCAGTTAAATCCGCTACCAATTCCCAACTACATAAACATGCATAAATAATAAACAGTATTAAATATAATAATAAACCAGAGCAATTGATTATCTTTAATGATACAAATAAATCTTTGAAAAATATATATATTTTTCCATAGTTTGTTTTAAAGTATGTACACAAAAAAATATTTGAAAACACAAAATACAATAATAAAGAAGCAATTCAATCAAAGATTCTTAAAAAATCAATTAAAATATCAGATATTTTGAAAAAAAAAATACATTAATTATATATAACTCAAATGTATAAAATATAATACAACTGAAAAGATCATGCAGAAATTTTATGGTCATGCAAAATTTGTAGAGTGATATATTTTATTTCAAAAATTGGATGATACTATCAGTTAAAGGTCTGTTTATGTGATCAGACCAGACAGGATAAATAGGGTAGTGAATATATTTGGCAATATAGTGAAAGTTTCAAGTTACTGAAGTTTTAAATTAGCACATTGTGGCAACCATAACATAAAAGATGACTGATATGCTACTAATTACCTATGGCTGGTCAATATAAATCTAAGCAATATTGGAGTATCATATTAAAGTATTAGATCCTTTGAAAGTGAATAATCATTAAATTAAAAAGCCTATAAAATTAATACCACATAATTTGTATTACAGAAGAAGTATTAAAAATGAAAATCAAAAGTAAAGAAAATTCACTGTGTAATAACAGACTAAGGACTGTATTTGAGCCACAAAGTTTAATTTTAGCATATTGGTATCATAGAGGGTATATTTGTATCATTGTAATAGTTACAATTTCTAAGTAGTACGTCATACTTTTGTGTAATAAGGTTCATATTTGGAAAATATTAATTGATTTATTAGTGTCACAATGTTACTAGTCACCACCTGCTCAACTAAATAGCCAATGGCATGGTTAGCAATGTATTTGCAGGAATAAACCTCACACCCACTTCCACTGATAACCAAGATGTTTGTAAGAGTTCAAACATTTTCTTTAAAGTAACAAATAATGCCTCTCACTAAGATTGATAAATAAAATTAATTATGATCACTTATTCACCTGATCCACACCATACAACATGACTCATAATCGTTTGCTGTCATAAAATTATATTTTAAATAGATTATGCAATTGATCAATGTACAAACCCATCATATTTAACACTTAGAAAATTTAATTCAAGAAAACATTTTGACTCACCTATTTTGGGCCACTTTTCTCAATGTATCCGGACACCTAATAAGTTTATCTAATGTTTTCACAATTGATCCAAAAGTAGGCCTGTGTGTCCTCTCCTTCTGCCAATTGTCAAGCATCAGTTGGTAAATGGCCTCGGGACAGTCCATTGGGGCAGGTAACCTATAGAATAATCAAGAGTTTTAAAAAAATATTCATATCTCAGGGGAAAACTATTGTAACAGATCAATGTAAAATTTTGCTGGATAACTTATTTCAATAGTGAAACTTTAATTTACAAATTTAAGAATCAAAACAATCGAAGAAGTTTGTCTACCTTAATCAACGAATACAATTTTTTTTAAATATATTCTGATGAGAAATGGTTACAAAATTACAAATCAATCTTATTATCTTTGGAGCATTTTTATACAAATGAAAATAATAATTACCTATAACCCTTTTCAATGGATTTTATAACATCTTGATTGCTCCAGTTCCAGTATGGCCGCTCTCCATAAGACATTACTTCCCAACAAACTATACCAAAAGACCAAACATCAGACGCTGATGTGAATTTCCTAAAAGCTATAGCTTCTGGAGCTGTCCATCTAACTGGAATTTTGCCCCCCTATAATATAGAGAAATATTTTAGTATTTATATCCATATTTAAAAGTAAAAATAAAAATTAACAAAAACAAAAAATAAATAAATAAAAAAAAAAACCCAAGACCTTTACCCTAGTAGTGTAAGCACCCTCGGTCGTGCTTTCAATTTCCCTGCTAAGACCAAAGTCAGCAATTTTGCAGACAAGCTGGGCATTTACAAGAACATTTCTAGCTGCTAAGTCTCGATGGACATAATTCATTTCTGATAGGTATTGCATACCAGAGGCTATTCCACGAAGCATTCCAACTAGCTGTACAATTTGGAATTTGCCATCATTAGCCTAGAATAAATATAAATATATAATTAGTTGAATTTATTTATAATATAAATATGAACATATATAGGTTTTAACCTATTTCTAAATAAATTTAATATATACTTTTATAAAATTACATATATAAGACAAACACGTACCCTGAGAAATGTATCTAGAGAGCCATTCTCCATGTATTCGGTTATTATCATCACAGGATTACTTTTAGTTACAACACCCTGCAAGAAAATGACATTGGGATGCTCAAACTGCCCCATTATAGAGGCTTCAGTCAAAAAGTCATTTCTTGCTTTATCAGCAGAGCCTGGTTTTAAAGTTTTAATGGCAACATCTATTTCTGATCTTCCATCAGGTGGAAGTTTCAGTTTACCTCTGCAAACATCGCCAAACTCTCCTCCACCTATACAATATTAAGAGGATAAATCATATTATAATTGAATAGCACTACAATTTTAAAATCAAATTAAGTCAGAAATTAACAATGGGCTGAAGAAATTTTATGAATAAAATTCCAGATTATTAACCAAAAACGGAAAAAAAAAATTTAAAAAACTTTTTTAAATATTTAGTACAAATTTTATTATAGAAAATACGTTCTAAGTCGACATTCATTTTTCTGAAGAGAGGAAAAAAAAATAAAGCAATATTTTGATCAACCTACCAATAATAGCTTCTATGGTTATATATGAAGCATCTATTTCCCTTGCGAATTCCTTGACAGCCTGATTAGGATCTTCGTATGTATGGGGATCAATGTATGTACGAGAAGCAGTTGAGCCAACTTGTGTAAAAAGTGGAGTTGTCACTGGAAAATATTAATTATTAAAATTAAAATATTAATCTATATCTAAATAATATTATATTAAGAAAAAACAATTAGGGATGGTAGCCACTCATATAAATGGCTTTCATCTTTATTTCTTTCTTTCTCTCATGTATTAAAAAAATATATACAAAAGTAACTAATAATAAATACTGATCAACTCGTTACATGAAAGTAACAAAGAGATTTTAATAATAACTTAGGTGAAAGTAAAGAGGATTTGCAATAAACTACTTACTGCCATTCGTATGCGTGGTAACAATGGGAGGGTTATCCAAATTGCAGTGCACTAAAAAAAAAACAGAAAACACTAGGGATACACAAAAGCCAAAGCGCAACAATAAGCACAAACATAAAAACAAAACAAAGGTTACATATAAGAAATTAATCATTAAAAAAAAAAACAAATGAAAAAATTGTTTTTATAGTCAGGAGAATTGAAAAAAAAATAAATAAGTTGGTTATGAAACTAGAGGAAAAATAACACAGACTTATTACTCATTCTGTTATGATATTAATTAAGAGAGCAGGCATAACATCTGAAAGGCAGAAAAACAAGGAAGCAAAAGGATAAATTCATGCTATGAATAAAAAAGAAAAAAAATGAAACATTAAAAAAAAAAAAATGTGTCCCAAATAACTTACTGTAGGTAACAACTAGTCCTGAGGGAAGACATGAAAGTAAAAGGTTGGTTAGTAAGGGTATCAAATGGGCATCTAGGTGTTAATAGGTAGGCTATGGGTCACTATTGGTTAGCAATGTGTTTGTTACTGTATAATTATATATTAACCAATGACAAGAATAATATAAATGGCAAAACTTTTTTTTTATAAACAATCAAATAACATTATCAATGTACATAAATAGTAAATGTACATACAAGACCACAAGTGCAAAGTAATGAATTTGATAACATTGAATTTGGAGTAGAAAATAATTTTTAAAACCATGTAGTGCTTTCAATATTAGCACAGTTGTAGAAAGTACCACTATTTCTTACATTTAATTTTTATTTTACCATGAAAATTACCAAATTTAAAAGCCTCCCCCATTTAAAAAGATAGCAAAGGTCAGTCTGGTGGAAAATTGTAGAGAATAGATGTTATGAAGGAGTAATTTCTAGCTTAAAACTTTTGATTCATGTTCAAACAATTTATTTTTATTTTAATTTTGAAAAATCTATTTAAATTTTGAAAAACTCCTGTGAAAGAACAAAAAGTTCTTTAAAATAAAAATCATTCAAGTGTTTTTTAGATTTTAAAATTCAAGTACATATTTATCATTTTCTTTCAATTTTCATTCCACTATTTATTGAAAATGATCACCTATTTTCATTAAATTTCTGAAAAACTTGATAAATTCCTAGTTTTTTTTCTTCAAATAAAAGTCCACAATATATCATTAGAAGCCAGGTTTAGGTTAGGAAATGATAAAAGATAGAGCTATATTTTTATTTTCACTTACCTATGAAATATATAGTAAGGGAAAGTATTGCGAAAGTTTTTGAATCAGTTTTCAAAGGAAATACACGTTTTGCTGTCCCCTGAGTCCAAATATTAAGTCCCACAAAATGATCTGTGTGTTTATGTCTGTGTTAACAGTCTAGCTCAAAAATGAAAAATTGTATGCAAGTGAAATTGCATATTTAAGGTTTTTATATGCGAAGGATGTTACAGCAACTTTTTGGTCAAAATTGCCTAACCAGAAGTGGCACTTTATTGTTGGTATTATTTAATATTTATTTGTACTATTTAAGTATACATTGTAGCAATATAAATACTAAATTTTTTTTTATATAATGGTACTTATAAAAACAAACAACAAACAAAAATACCCACAATGAAATATATATCAATATAGCGTTAGTAACTTATTACTTTTACTTTCCCTTTGTCTAAAAATATTTATTTCTGCTAAGAAGAGGTTGGGAAGTGAAGTTGTGTGTTGTGCGCACCGCACCAGAATTTTTATATTTCTATATAAATTTTAATTTTCATATTACTGTAATTTATAATAATCTCATAGACACCACATATATGTTAATGGGGATGGATGAAGCCATGATGCTATACATTTCTCACCAATGGTTTATTTATTATTCAAAACTAAAGAAAATATTCATTATCAAATGACCTTCGTCCTAAAACTTTAACTTGTGTTCTTTAATTTTCTAAGAAAATTGCTATATACTCCCAAAGTTTGAAAAAAAAAAATGTAGTTCTTTTATCTTAAATAGGTGGTCAACTAAAGGCAGAAGCTCTTTGAAATTAATAGGTCTTTTCCTCAAGGAAATAAAGCTTACTGAATTGAATTCTCGAATGATATGTCTAATAACCAGCCATATTTAATTCATTGGGACTTTAATTTTAATTTGAAATCAGGGAACATAAAAATTAATTCAAATAGTTGCTCAGTTTTCCTGAACTGGAACCCAACTATTTTTGAAACATTATCCTTCATCAGAAAGTTAAACTCGTGTGATAAGTAGTCTAAGACAAAAACTATTTGTCCACAACAATAATTAGAACAATTTATAAGATTAAGTTATCTAGAGTAGTATTTAATATAAATGTTATTATGTACTTAACAGTTAGAGGATAACATGGAAATGTTAAATAAACAAGTAAATGATTAATACTGGTAAGATATACAGTGGTAGGAATAATAACAAGCTTTCAGGCAGACATCAATAATATGGGGGCCAAGACATTCAGATTGAATCTAATTCCAGATGACAAACAAAACAAAGCCAACCCATTGCAACTTAATTTGATGTTACAAGCAAAATATTACTGACAAGAATATAATAAATAAATAAATGTGTATAAAAAAAGTTCTGCCTGCTTTATGTTATTCTTATTCTACAAAAATTATTTTTAAATGTTTGAGTGTTCAAATAAGATTTTTACCTTCTCCATTTCGATATTCTAAAGTATCACAGTCGCTGGGTTGTTTTTTATTGCATTCATCATTTCCACGACTGAAAAGATAAAGTTTTAATTAATTTTTATCTCATTTTAACAACTAATATGGTATAAAAAATTGATGACACAAACCTTCTGAGGAAAAATACAGTCATAATAATTATTATAACAAGAAGTACAACAACAGCAACAGTTGCTCCAGCAATTATACGAACTTGCATGTTGTCTTCATCGACAATATAGGCTAAAACATTAAGAAAAGATATATTTATAATAACTTAAACAATGAAGATATAAATCAAATAAGGTAGTATAACTTTAATTTACAAGTTTAAAGATAATTATATCAACTTTAGCAAAATATTTTTTAATGATACAATTGTAAAAAGTATTTTCTAAGAACAATAATTGAGTTACTCACGGGTTCCTAAAACTTGTCCAGTTGTCTTGGTAACAGGTTGACTGAATTCTCCCCAGCCATGGTTTGTTTTAGCTCTGACTTGGAACACATATTCCGTACGTTGTTTAAGTGCAGTAATAGTAGCTTTTGGCTCTTTAGTCAGCTTGCTTGTAGCATTCATGTCTTCCTTATCTTGTTTTGAGAAACAGCGTACCTAAAATTGATTGATGAAGATCAATTGTTAATCTCAATTTACTAGAGTAGACTGGATAATATAATTCAATGAAAATGATTTTTTTTTTTTAAATAATGAATTTAATATAATATTTTTAATAATTAAACTTTACCTCATAAGTTTCAACTAAAACTTCTGAGTCTGGGTCAGGTGATATCGGAGGATCCCAAGCAAGAGATACTTCAGAAGCTTTTACAGCTGTCACTCGAACATTATGTACCATGGCAGAAGTGACTGAAGCTTCTGTAGTTACAGTGATTTCAACAAACTCTCCATCGCTGCCAGAAACTGAACTGACTCCATTTACTGAATATACTTGAAATTTGTAAGTAGTAACTGGGCTAAGGCCACTGATGGTAACTTTAGTCTCATCAAAACTCTCCTGTAAAAAACATTTAACTATGGTAATAGAGAAAGCAGAAAAGAAAAAGAGAGTAGTATTTAAAGTATTAAGAGAGTAGTTCATAAATGTTGAAACGGTAAAACAAATGTTTAAGAAATAAAAATTAATTGAATATTTTTTAAACCGAATATTCACTAAGTAAACATAAATCAAAAGTTTTAATAAATCTAAACAAAAAAAAAAAAAATAAATAATCAAGAGATTCTAAATACTTCATGAATGTTCTTACAGTAGGTGGGCTATAGGTGACTGCCTGGCCACAGATGTCGCACTGTATCCTGTAAGTAATATCAGTTCGGCCACCAAGAAAGCTAGGAGCTGTCCATGAAAGACTGACAGTGCTCTGATCCATGAAGCTAACAGTAAGGTTCTGAGGAGCAGATGGGGGTTCTGGAAAAAGACAAAACCAGATTTTTTTATTTTATTGTATTTATTTATTTTTATTTTTAGATGCTGCTAAACATGATAGGTAAATTGAAAATAAAAATAAAAATACGAATAGTACAATTAGCTAAATATGTTATGAGTGAAAACATAGGTAATTAAAGGATTGGTATTAAAATATAATTTAATTTTGAAAGTTAAATTTTATTATGGTTGAAAGTTTAAAATTAAAGCTTCATATCTTTGAATTGGAATAAAACAGACATTCTTGTTAAAGACTTGTTCCGCATTAGCTTCAAAGGCCGCTGACTTGGAGATTTGTTGAAAACTGATTAAAATGTAAACAAAATGAAACAAAATGTTAGCTTAAAAAACACTGAACAATTGAAAATATTAAACCTGAATAATTTAGGTCTCTCATTCTGAATAAAAAATTTGTTTGTTTAATGTTATTAATATAAGGTTTAAATCGAAAGCCTCATAACAAAACAAAACGATCAATTACAGAAAAAAACAGTATCTTGTATTTATTTAAAAGAAAAGTGTTAGGAATGTGTTCACAAAAGCAGTTCAAGAATTGGCACAAATTGTTTCATAGAATACTTGTTGTATACCTTTGTTACCAATAGTATAAATATAATCTGTGTATTTATATAAGGAACTGAAAAAAAAAATTGTTTCAGAATTGAAATTTTCTATTTGTGTTTTACATCAGGAGATAAAGGAAAAAATTCAGTTTCATCTCAGTGGTTTTTAGTCAAATCCATGAGATGCATAAAACCTACTACTACTTATGTAGTACCTAATCCAGTTGATGAAATTTTCAGGTTTGGTATCTACATCGATATTATCATCAAATTGCATATATCCTTAAATATTGCTTATGCATGTGTAATCATTTATATCGTTTTTAGTTCACATCTATATTTCAAAAATAGCAGGTGGGATTTGGTCTGAAGTTAAAAATTGTGGATTAGAACACTAGCGGATCCAGGATTTAATTTTGGGAGCTTCATTCATAAAAATGACGATAATTACTTTGGAAAAAAAGAAAGAAACTAACTTTCTATATGAAATGGTGTTTAAGTGATTCCTTAAGTCCTTTTAAATGTAATTACACGAACAATAATACTTTAAGAGATAATTTTTTAATATTTTTTTCCATAAAACATGGTTATATTTCACCATTTTGCGAAAGCCCCCCTTCCCTCCGTAGATCCGCTCATGGATTAAAATAAAAAATAAAACTAAATAATATTCTGAAACATTATGAAATAAACTAAAACATTAAATTTGTTCTCCTAATAAACCCAATATAGTATGAGAAACCTATGCAGACCTACTTGGTAGACTTTTTAATTTTTACGAAAATCGTTTAAAGGAAGCAATGGAATGTGGACAAATTACCAGCGTCGTTCCAATTACGGCAACAGTACTCGTAGGACTCGGGATCCAATTAGTAAGTAGTTTTATTTCTATTTAAAGACCATGAAACTTCTATAGCCGAAAGAACTTTAATGAAAGAAAAATCCACAAGTATTAATCCATCCAAAAGGAAAAGAGGGGAAGTGAGAAAAAAAAATATTCGATTAATTGGACACAAAAAATATATACACAAATACTACAACTTAAATATTCAGTATTATTGTATTTATTAGTCTATTTCTGATATTTTATAAAATTAACTATAAACCCAAGATGGTAATTAACTACGTGATTTCTCCCAACCAAAAATAAATAAAAAAACTAAGTAACCATTATATTTGTAAGCAGTAAACAAAAATCATTCTCATATAGAAGACCATGAAGGCATTTTTGGGGAACGATGTTATTTGTAGTATGCTCAAACCCACTTGTTTATCCCAACGTGTTGGTGACATCTTTAACATATATAAATCGTGAAAATTAAGAGATTTTTATACAATGAAGTACCAAAGATAATTGGTCTCGGCATGGCGATTTATTTGTTGAGTCAAAGAAACCTACTTTTGCAAGGACCACCATTTATCTCTAAGTGCTTCTGCCTTTCAATTTATCTCTTTATCGATATCAAGCAGAGATTTAAGTGTTAACAGCCCCACAGTCCTTCCAAAAGAACCTCAGAGGTACAACATTTCCTCTGGTACTACCATACATTCGTTCTGGCGAGATTCTGGATGGCATTTCCTTCGAATCCAGTCTTACAATATGATCAGCTATGCAAAGTATAGTACTTATATTAAGCATATGTACTTAGTTTTTCTTTATTAATAATTAGACATAAGGTATGTGTAAATTTGAATATTTGTTTGTGACGTAAGACATGGTATTGTAAGTCATGTGCTTGAAAAGTCATTTTTTTTTTAGAATAAAATAAAGGTGAAGTTACTTCAGCAATTTTCACTAGCTGCAAATAAGATCAATTTATACAAGAAATTGTTTCACGATATATATGTTTTAACTTAATGAGATTTTAACAAGAAGCCGGACAAAAAAAAAAAATCATTCAACCAAAGGTCTCGATTCTTCGAGGATCTACTTTAGAACTGATTAATGACTATTTTAATGAGAGATCAAATTACTTTTGAGAATTCTGCAATAATACTTTCAAGAGAGCATTACAGTCGTTCCTGAAGGAATCGATCACAGGACCGCTTCTCAAAGAGGTCGCAGGCAGACAACGGTATCGAATTCCGTTTTATTAAACGGCCGAAAACATGGCGGGCAAGGACCTAATAAGCCATCGGAGTCATTTGCCAACGTCATATCTGTGCATTAGCTTCAGCCAACAAGGCATCAATAACCCGGCCACATTTTTAGGAGATCCAGTTTTTTTCCCCCCTCTGCCCCATTACACGCTCATCATTTGAATATCGGCTCCGGGTAGCGGCTTTTCGATTAGAATGGCGGGTCTCTTTTTTTTATTTGGCCTATATGATTGAATGCGCTTCGACACACAATTACGATTCCAACAGCCGATAGTTGTAATCTGTACGAGCCGTTCATGACTACGATAAAATCATCGCAATAAAAGTAGAAAAAAATAAAGTATACAACGCTCATCCGACAGAAAATTTATTATTGCAGTATTTGTAACAAACATTACGTATTTGTTTTCAAACGCTTCGTAGACAATTCCCATGGTATTTATACCCTTGTAACTTAACTATCCTCTCTACTCCGCACCATTTCCTCTAAAAAAATTAATGAAAAACCTTTCCTATTTTTGGAATAGGGAAAAAAAAACACAAAAATATTTCATTACAATTAACAAAAATTTGATCAATGATTTACGTATTAGATTATCAGTCAATTTGGACCTTAAGTAGAGTGGTATGAATTCTATAAAAAGATATATGAATGGAAAAGATAATGTTGCTGTATTAAATTGTATGGCATTAGCATAGTAATGCTTGTAAATAAATAAAATATAGAATTGTAATATCCATCCTGATATCCATGAAGTTCCAAAATAATATATATATTTTTAGCTGAACGAAAAAGGCAATGATGGAACACACCCCACGTGGAGTTTGTTCCATTATTTGGAGTTTTTCAAAGCCCTAGTTGGGATTCGTTTATAGCGATAACTTTTAAATATAGGACCATCGAAGGGGTATTAAAGAGAGGGCTTCCAGCGAAGGCCTTGTTTCTTTTTTTGTCCCAGAACTCTAATGACTGCTAGGACATTCGTCAGAGCAATCCGGGTTCGTTAGAACAGGGTCTTCGGGAAATGGGTCAATCCCTTTGTTAGAAGGGGGGTCTTCAGTTTAATTGGGCATTCTTAAGCAGTCGGGTGTCTTCGTCTTGGGTCTTTATCCTGTCTGGGTGCTATTCGGCTCAACTCGGCCGTGAGGCTCCCGGTCATTAGGGCGATTAACTAGACATTGTCAGGACAAAAGTAATTATTGGCATTAGAACAATTAATTTACAGAGTAATTAAGTTGTTGGTGGCCGAGTTAGTGACTGATTATAACAATTGTGTTACATTATGAACTTAGACTGAAGTGGGAGATCCCTTCCGACTTATAAATTACTAACTATGGTGGATGCAATTAACAATAATGGATTAGAACTCTGAAAACTTTAACTAAATATTTAATAATGATGTAGAGATGGTTGACCGTTGATATGATATGAGAAGGAATAGTGTTTCAACCGCCTCCCGCAGTGCCACATCCAACGCCCTGAAGACGACCTGCAAAGTGGGTCGAAACGTCGGCAAAAATTAAAATTATTTATATATTTTATTTTTTTTATTTTTTTTGACCGCACCCTCGACTAATTCCTTCTCATAAATATTTAATAATTGAAACAAAAAAATAGTCTCAAACTAAATTATTCCAAAATACATCCTCACTTCACTACTAGTTAAACAAGAAATAATACAATCATAAAGCACATTTATAGTAAAGTAGTGATCAATCCCCAGAACCCAGATTTCACAACTCTTCCACATTCAACAACTCTTAAGGAGATCGATCAGGAAACATTCGAACCAGTTACCCTGATTAAGCTTTATAAAAAAAAATCAGTTAGTTGGAGGTATTCATTCCTTATCCGACCACTTAAGGGAAGGATAGATATTATCTAGAAAACTATCGGAATGAGCTCGCTGCCGTTCCAAAAAGGTGCCAGTTTTGATTTGAGCCTCGGAACACCGTCGTGCAAGTCGGCCAATGTGTGGCGTGCATCAGTTAAGGAAAACTGATTTTTTTTTTCTCTTTCACTGTCCCGAATATTTCGTGAAGGTTGTTAAAGCGGTTCTCACCGTTATTAATCGGGATTAAATGAAGTAAAATTTATAATATTTGCTCGTGTAAAAGTTTTAGTTAAATGTTAAACAAAGACGTTGAAAAAAAGTTGTAAAAAGTAGTTTTTTTTTTTCTCTTCATTGCAAATAGCCTTCTTTATATTGCACTATTCTCAATTAAACTTTTATATAGCGTATAAAATGATAATGAGTTATGATATAGGAAGGCAAAGCAAAACTTATTGTTTATCGAAAATTGATTTGAAACTTTATA